TGGCCCCTCCCCCAGCCAGCCTGGCCCTGGCCAGCCAACCTCCCTCCATCTCCTCCTCCCAACAGGCCCAGCCCCAATCCGCCACTGGGGCCAGGCTGGCCAGACCACCCATGCACGAATTCATGCACTGGGCCTATAGTATGAATATGAATACACAAGCACTCTGCCAAAGTCAGTATCACCTCAGTCACTGTCACAATAAAAGAGAAAGCTAAATGAAAATGAAGGTCATGACTTAATGCTAGAAGTGAGCCTAATAGATTTTGATTCCCATTAACTTCCAGGATCTTTGCCACAGAAAGATCATCACTGTTATGAAAATAACTAGGGGCACAGTGCGTGAATTTGTGCACCTTGAAAGGAACTGTGGGCCTCAAGGCTGCAGTGGGCACAGGGGTGGGTCTCGGCCCATCCTCCGTGCCCCCGCCCAGCCCCTCCTGCCGCAGCCCCTGGTCCCATCTGCTGGCAGCCCCACTCCCACACGCTGATGGCGTGGAGTGATTGGGGCCAGCACCAGCAGTTTGTGCAAGCAGTGGCTGCTGCCCTGATTGCCCCTCGGGAGCAGGGGGAAGTGGAGAAGCCCTCAGCGATGATCAGGCACTGGCAGCAGGTGCAAGAGCCAGGCGAGACCGGACCACTTGCATCCGTTGATGGCGCCAAGTGATTGGGACTGGCACTGGGTGCTGGCAGCGGGTGTGAGTGGCAGCTCCGGGCGCCTGCTGCGGGTGTGAGCAGTGCCTTCACCGGCAGTGGGTGCGAGAGGTGGCTGCTTGCCCCGATTGCCCCTCAGGAGCAGGGGGAGGTGGAAAAGCCCTGAGGCACAATCGGGGCCAGCAACTGCTGCTCGCACCTGCTGATGGCGCTGAGTGATCCGGGCCAATGCCGGGTGCAAGCAGCAGCTCTGGTACTCGCAGCAGGTGCGAGCTGGGCCAGCGTGGAGAAGCAAAGAATTTTCAGTAACCACCAGAGGCTCACCTAGATGACAGTGACCAGCGCCCCACCTTGGTCTGGTGCCCCCGCTCACCTGCTCCACCATCCCACCGCGGCCAACGCCCGCCATGTTCTACGCACATCATAGCAACCAGTTGTTTGGTTGTTTTGCCATTAGTTCTATTTGCATATTAGGGTTTTATACATATAGATAATCAACAAGTATAAATTATTTATGAGACTAGACACAGATCTGTTTTGCTTATTGGTAATGTTGGAGCCAGTAAAACAATAAATTAATGAACTATGTAACACTCTTTATAAGGCCTTTTATATATTCATATAAGTTCCTAATAAACTTGTATAATTTAATAAATTAATGAACTATGCAACACTCTTTATAAGGCCTTTTAATCTTATATATTCATATAAGTTCCTAATAAACTTGTATAATACATATCTTCCACAAAACCAACAGTGGAGCTCTCACCTGGGTAGTGAGAGACAAGGGACTATATACATACATACACACTCTATGTATCTATATATGGTATATATGTGTGTATGTATCTATCTACCTACATACTTATTTATCTCCCTACACACACAGCCCCTGCTTAATTAGCTAGCACAATGCTTTGCTCTATAATATGTGTCCATTTTATTGGGGAATAAAAGAATTTGTTTGGGTTCAAATTTACAGTATTCATTCTTAAGCCATGCATCAAGAATAACAACAAATTCGTTAAAGTGCACTTAATATGACTACAAAAAAATTAAATATGCTGATTGTATAAAATTCTAAAGTTCATTGATTCACTACATCCAGAATGATTTTTCTAAAGCATGAATTTAATTATGTCTATTCCCTGAACAAACTGTCCTAAAACTAAAGTCCAGTTCTCTCAATATGGCTTTTTAATATGGCTTTTTAACTTCACGATCTGACCTTCCCTTACCTATTAGTTTAAAGCCTGTTTCCTGGTCCCTTGAACTTTTTGCTCCATTTTTATCTGTAGCTCCTTGAGCCTGTCATTCTCTGTCTTACATCTGCACCTTTGAACATGACATTCCCTCTGTCTAGACATTTTCCACCTCAATTCACCAGTTTGATCCCGATTCTCCTGTAGGTCTCAGATTAGACTCATTCCTGGGAAGGCTTCCTGTCTGAATTAGGTGCTCCTTCTCTGTCCTCCAGTGCATCAGATAGACCTATCGCCATATGGCCTTAATGTCTGTTCACGTGCCTACATCCCCCGCTAGGCTCTAAACTGCTCGAAAGCAAAGACTATGTTTTGTTCACTATTATATTCCTAGCACCTAATGCTTGGCCCATAGTAAGTGCTCAATAAGTATAAATTAAATAGGGAACAAGGAGCCAAATTAATACAAGTATGGGTGGTTTCTGGGCAAACTATCAGGTAGGTGTGAGTTAATTCTGATCTAAAGCTTCATTCACATTAAAAGTGCCCGAGCTTCTGTCACTATACCTCGGTTCAAAGCCCAGCTCAGGACCTGCTTATCTACCTACAAAGAATTCCTACCCCACAGCTCTGTGATGAAAACATTCTCAAAAGGTCACACTTGACAACACATGATATGGCTTCAAAAAAATACCCACCTCAGCTGTCTCCTCGGAGAAAGCTTGCAGAATGTCCGTCTGCCTGGTGTAGTTGCCATTGGCGTCCTGCAGACCTTGCAGGATGCGCTCCCGCAGAACCAGCACCGAGACCCGGAGCTGGTGCCAGAGGAGCTGCACCGCGTGGATGTCCACAATCACATTGACAGAGTAGGACAGCAGCTTCAGGGAGAACTCAGTCTCAAGGAGGGCATGGATTTGCTCAACATGATCAGAAATATCTTCACAAATGTCCTGCAGTGGGAAAAAAAAAAAAGCAAAGATAGGATGACTTCTTTGCCAAAAGGTCACTTCTTCACCTGACACCAATCATCAGGGCCAACAGGTCAGGTGAGCACATGTTAGAGAGTGGGCCTTTGTTAGTTGCAGGCCATGTTCCTGGGCACCGGGCCTTTTGCGCATACAGGTAAGTTGATCTTTTCCTAACCCACAAAAATTCTTATTCTTTCAGATACCAAAATCCTTTCAGGTGCCAAGCTGAGAGGGCACCTCACAAATCCACTCTCTGTTCTCTTTATTTACAGTTTGTGATTCTGGCAAGTGAGCCAACAGCTATTCTTTTTGCTGGTGGCGAGCTCCATGGAACACACAATGTTTCAGGATGAGACTTCATTCAAACACCAAGCATGAAGAAACATGGGCTAGAATCTGTGATCCATAGGAATTACCACCTATTGTCAATGAACCACGGGGTCTTCAATATAAAGAACAATTGTCACATTCCCACAGGGAATATTAATCCCTAAATTCATGATGGATATCTAAATTTCATCCCACACTTTGCAAGCAGAATCACTCTTAAGAAGGAAAGCCAGAGAAACCCCAAGGATGAAGAAAGACAAAATAGTTCGTTCTGTAAGACAGAGACAGTATAAATAGAAATATTACTACCTCAAGGTTTCAATCTCTCCCACACATACTATTAGGCATGCAGATTTGGTGTCTGATATGGCACTTGCCCTTACAAGTTGCCAAACTCCACTGTGCCATCAGAGGCAGCTACATGGAATGAGCAGCATCAATAGTGATATTTACGTGAGCATTTGAGACAATTAAGCATTAAAATGATACTGATGTCAGATGAACCTGCTCAGTTACCCATTTTTAGTGATGATCAGTGTTTGTTTTTTAAGTGGATGATTTTTGGTAAGGCTAACATTTTAAGATAGCATTTGAGTTCTGAAGCCCTATCATGAGTGTCAAAACAGTCATTCTATGCTGGAAACATAGCCTGCTGATTCCACGTAATTCAATTACTTGTTTTTAAAGAAAAACTAAAATGTAACCTTATTTAACAATGTGTAAAAATAGGCCAAAAAAATCTACTGAAGAATGATAGAGAGTTGTTCTGAATTTTGAATATTAAGTACTGTGCAACTCCAATAAATGCTCCAATATTAGTTCTTGAAACCCAAGAACCAGTTGATGACAGTGGTACAAACTGGTGACAATAACAACTTGAAAGAGATGAAAAGTTTAAACTAAATAGACTTTGGAGTCCTAATTAAGTGAAGTTCTTACAAATGTGGCCCATGAGCACATGCAGTCTGAAAGAGCTTCAGGGCAAAAACTCCATGACCCTATTAACCAGCACCTGGGAACCAATCATATGCATATTAGCTATCTCTGCTGCTTTCAGCCTCTAACTGCTATCATCAGATATTCCATACTGCCTGGGGTCTCAGCTAATGCTTGCTTTGAGCATCTACTCCATTTATCCCTCACACCTCCTATTCCTGATATTCAACCACCTCAAAGCACAGGAGGCCCTGCTTCCTTTGCCCTCTTAGGATGTTCAGTATTGTGTTGCCTTGGAAAACTCCCTTCCACCCACTGCTGACCACTTCCAAATTCTCTGTACTTTTCTGGCTAATAACCCCATCCCATGGTAAAAACACTCCTTTACTTCTTCACAGAAGAATTATGTGAATAATTGTATTATCTACCTCCTGGTCTTACCAAACCCTGACTCTGCCCAAGGACCTTGCTTCCCTATTGTCCTCCCAAGGGATGCTACCTATTAGCCCAGGCCTCACCTGAGAGATGGAGGGGTAGGGCTGATGGGGAAGGACAAGCCTCAGAGCTTCTTTGCCACTTTCTGATCATTACTCTTTTGCCCTAATACTAGCTCCCTTCTTCTCTAGTAGGTGCCTACAGTGTACTAAAGCTTTAACTACTTAAAATTTCCCATAATTCTACATGGATGTCATTCATTGTCTTATAGTTTTTCTTCTGAGAAAAAAATGTTCTCCAGCAAGCTCATTCAGATGACTAAATCAAGAGATGTCTCAAAGACTAAGAAACCTATCATTACAAACTGAAGATAATTTTTAAATGCCCTTCCAGCAATAACATTTTTACAGATACTCAAATTGTCCTTAGCCTATCCCATAATTATAAAGGATAGAAGGATAATTGTTTCTGGGTTTTTTTCAGCAAATGCCTTAAGTACCTGCTATGTACTAACCCATGTGCTGGGGCACACAAAGGTTATAGTTCCAGAGCCTGCTCCCTAGAGTTCCCTTGTTGGTATGAGGTGGGGATGGAAATAAAAATTACAGCCAGGAAGGTAAGTGTTCACAGAGAGCACACAGAGAAGGAAATAATTGTGCCCAGGGGGGCAAACAGGAAGGGGGAAGAACTCTCTTCTAAGGAAGTAATGTTTGGGTCTTGAAGGAGACAACCAAGGGGATGAGAAGAGCATTCTCGGGAGTAGCCAGTATCAGAGAGGTCTCCATAACTACAGACCTAGGATTTGGTACCAACTTCCTACATACAGTATATTACACAATCCATAAAAGAAAAACATTTGACTTCATCAACATTTAAAACTCTTGCTGTGCAAAAGATATTTTTTAAGAAAAGGAAAATATAAGCTACAGACCAGGAAAACCTATTTGCAAATCATATATCTACCAAAGGATTTATATCTAGAATATATAAAGAACTCTCAAAACAACAATAAGAAAACAACCAACCCAATTATCAAATAGGCAAAAGACTTGAACAAAAATTTTAAGTGGATATAATGATGGCAAATAAGCACATAAAAAAAAATATTCATCCTCACTAACCATTAGAGAAATGCAAATTAAAACCACAACGAGATACCACTGTGGTCCAATAGGTGTACACCTAGTGGAATGACTAGAACAAACAATTAGCAAGTGCTGAGGAGTTCCAGAGCAGCTGGAACTTTGCTGCACTGCTGGTGGGAATGCAAAATGACAGTCACTGTGGAAAACAGTTCAGCAGTTTCTTATGAAGTTGGAGATGCACTTACAATATGACCCAGCAGTTTCATGCCTGGGGGTTTATACTAAAGAAATGAAAGCTTAGGTATACACAAAAATGAAAGGAAGGTCTACTCATAAACACCGAAACCAAAATGACCTGCAGTGGGAAAATGGATAAACAAACTATGGAACATCTCTATACACTACACAGTCTCAAAAGATGACACAGTGTATATTTCCACTTATATGACATTCTCAAGAGACAAACAGTGTTGATGAAGAATAGCTGAGTGGCTGCCAGGGGTGGAGGTGGGGGGAGCATGAATACAGGTTGACAGCTTGAGGGAGTTTTTGAGGTGATGGCACTGTTCTGCATACTGAGTGTGGAGATAGTTACACAAACCTACACATGAGTTAAATTTGTAGGCATGTACACCAAAGAAGAAAGTTAATCTGTCTGTTCCATAAATTTTAAAATAACAACAGAAAAGAAAACCAATTTATAGTCTCTTATTAAATGCATATAAACATTTGTTTTGGGTCCCACCCTCCCTTCAGGTTGTTGGAAATTATAAGGAGCACAGCTCTGAAGGTCATGGCACTACAGTCCTCAGCCCGAATTCCATAGCTTCCACAGGATTTTCAGACAAATATAACAGGAAACAAGGTTAAACTGGAGGCCATCTCAAACCATCTACCTTCAAAGTTGAGTAAGATTTTTTCCCATAGATATTACTGTAATGTGGGTAAGTTAGACTCTCCATTTTCTTGTTTAATTCTCATACTCCACAGTAGCTCCTATAGCAGCGGTTCTCAACCTGTGGTTCTTGACCCCTTTCACAGGGGTCGCCTAAGACCATCGGAAAACACATATATAATTACACATTGTTTTGGGGATTAATCATGATGCTTTAATTATGTTCAATTTGTAACAATGAAATTGGGGGTCACCACAACATGAGGAACTGTATTAAAGGGTCGTGGCATTAGGAAGGTTGAGAACCACTGTCCTATAGCCTTCAGAATTACTCACACCATAAATTCATGAAGACATTATGTTGCCAACTGCCCGCTTCACTCAAACTTCTAGATATGTTGTGGTCTCAACTGCAGCTGCTGCTGCCTGTCACTGAAACGGGAATCTTCGGTGGTTTCTGAAGTAGTCGACACAACACTGACTTGACCTGAGACTGTTTACAAATAAACTCCAGTCTGATGAGTCAGTATTTTTCTTTATAGTTCGATATTTATGTGGGAGAGGTGCCTTTTTTTAGTAAGATTGTTGTATATTTTGTAGTATTATCGTTTCCTTCAGAAAGATAGGGCGGTTGAGATAACTGTTATGTATTTAACCAGAATGTCCAGTTGTCACACGGGAGAGAAATGAGGATGCCCTTCCTGTGATTTCTCTAATCGCTTACGGTACTAATGCTAACTGTGACCTCCTCGGCTCTGTTAATTGTCCCTGGGAGGAGATCTGGTTGCTGCCTCATCATGAGGCCGCTGTGCTTATTTCCAACAATTTATTTTTCAAAACATCTTGAAGATTTCCTCGTGAAATTCTGTGTCTGTGGCTTGACATTCTGTAAAACTACCCATCTCTAAGGCTCCTTGTGCATTTGGAAGGAAACCTACCCTTCCAGCAACTTCCTCACCAGGTACTGAAGCAACGCGTGGCATCCCAGTTTCATGAACTCCCACAAATGCAGCCCCAACCACTTCTCTCCGCTTCTTCCTTCCCAACATGCATCCCCAAATGAGAAAACATAGCAAATCCCCCCAACCCCTACAACCTGACTCTCCACAGGCACAAACAGTAATTGCTTGGCATTTCTTCATTTATCTACAACCCTTTTTTTCTATCTCTACCCATAAAAATAATAGGTACACTGTCTCAAAACACTCTTGCCTTAACATTTGTCTTACTGCAGGACACATTCAGATGGTATTCCAACACACACACACACACACACACACACACACACACACAGTAAGGCC